TATTGGCACCATGAAGGTGTGACTCCAGGAGGTTCTACAGCCAATATAATAGATATCACTGAGGAAAAGCTTTCTGGTGGGACTGCATGCAGAACATGTACAGACACATGGACACCTACATGTACGGACACACGGACACGGAATGGACATGAGGAAGCACTCAAAGAGGAAGAAGAATTAAGATGTCAGCAGATATCAGTAAATTAAAATAAATAAAACCAGACCTTTTAAATTAGAGATACAATATTTTTGTTCTACTTCTTCCTTGTGAAGGATTACTGCCAGTTTGTGCTTTAGCAGAAATAAAACAAATGCCATGATACGTGATTGCTTTTTAACCATTCATTCAATTTTCAATTAATGAATGCACAGTTACCTGTTAGTAGTATAATATTTTGCCATTTAAAAGTTACCAGCATTTAACAGTTTGAGGGAAAATGCAATGTGAAATATAAATAGAGAACACTTAAGGCTTATGTTAAATTTGCAGTACCAATAAAATGAGTTTTGTATGAAGTACACTTCAAATTTACTCCATTGGAGCTACGGAACAGTGAATACAACAACGATCTGCTAAATGCATACTACACAAAATTATATAAGTTATATCTTAAAGAAAGCATGGTAAAGTTCAGTACTACTCTTTTGAACTATTGCCTTTTTTCTCCATGTTTCAGAAATGAGACCTCCTCACCACGGCATGAATTGTGCCATGATGTATTTAGAAGCCAAATCAGCACATTTTATTAGCACATCAAACCAATAATGCCTTGCTTTTGGATGAGGTTTAAACTAATGCAATACAATTAAAGAATAAATTTTGGCCTCAATGAAAATAACCAAAAAGGCCTTTGGCTATTCATAGGAAACCTGAGGGCCTAAATAAGAGACCATATATTCCAGACTTAAACGAAAATTCTCACCCCTGAAAACAGGCTACTGCTGCTGAAGGAGAAAAGAATCTGTATTCTTGGAGCCTACACCAGTGTTCAAGAAGCTGGTTAGCAACCCAGTGTTGCTTGATGAACCTATGGTCTGAGTTTAGATATTCCTAGGAATATGAACAATAGAACAAAAAGCTGGCACCAGTCTGAAAATCTGCACTCAAGAGAGTCAGGGAGAGAAGAAAGCAAAGCAATACAAAAGGAGACTTGGGGGATGAGGACGGACAAGTTATTTCTGTGCCACAGTGCACCAACAGAATTCATGTCCCCTGCAGACATCTTTGTTCCCATCAGAAAAATTGTTTTCACATGCTCCTCCTCAGCAGCACAGGTACATCATTTCTGGTTCTTGAAGCAGCTGGAAGAAAGGTAAGTTACTCCAGAAAGTGGTGGGGAGGGTGGATCTGGGGATGCCCAGGAGTGCAGTTTGTGAGGGGATAGGAAACAGAGGCAAGGTGTGTTTGAGCTCATCCAAGGTCATATGCCACTGTGCTCCCCCTCCCTGCAAGGGCCAAATTGCCCAGGGCCTGCTCTGTTTGCTGTGCTTGGGTGAAAGGGGCCTCAGTCATCCTCATGCTGTGCTTCCTCTCTCAAACATTTAT